CTTCCACCCATGACGCCCACTTAATGGAAGTGGGCGGGGCAGGTGGGGTTTCGGCGACATTACTTGGGAGATCCACTATCTAAGTCCGCCAAAATCTAGGAATCCATTTTGCCTTCCACTGTCTTTGATGCTCCCGTTTTTGGAACAGTAAGCAGTTCGCGATTTCTAAGCTGTCACGATCAACGCAAGGAGGAGGCGCCGACTTGACATGCATTAGCTGAGAAACAAAGAAACATCAACGCAAGGAGGAGGGAGGCAACAGACATTTTTTCAGCAACATAAGCAAAAGATGTGGCTCTATATCCCCTTACCACCTCTCTGTCAATAATCTCTAAACCAAACAGGAACGTTCTCTCCCAAGAACGTACAATCAAATCAGAATTTGTAGAAACTCGCACAGTTTTAGCCACATACTTCTCCTGATTCTGGTGATTTGTTCGAAGACGGAGAAACTTGACATGAGAGCTGCTTCTCCAAACCAGCCACATCGTCCAGGATCTTGAAGTTCCGTTTACGAAGCTCCTAAGAAACTGCTGCTAACATATCTTTTCTCCACACCAACAAAAAGCACCTCATTCTTGTGTTGCAGCCTCTCGTTCTCCGCACGTAGCGTGATTAGTTCATCCGCGTTCCCGTTCGTTTCGTTGGACGCGAGTAGCGGTTGAGCTCTCTCAAGCACCATTATCTAAATTCAGAAAGTGGCCACTCAAACAATAGTTAAGCCTTGTAGATACACATTTTATAGTTTAATGTAGAAATCTCAGTACCCAATAGAATTGGAGGTGAAGGCTTGCTATATTTCGTTCCTAGTAAGAAACCCATGGATTTGCAATGCTGCGCCTATGCACAGCGTATAATTCTAAGGGCGAGATGACTCGGAACTTTCTCGAAAGAAGAGGCTGACGAATTTCGAAACAACTATAGCAATACAATTATGAGGGCTTGTGGAAGCAGATGAACGTTCCTCCTGAGGTCATCTCCCTACAACCTGCGTTTGGCATTCAAAATTATTCGTACGGAATGTGAATGCAAAATGGACATTGCATTCCAGCCTGCCTAGCAATGAAGCTGAAAA